AATAATGTTGGGATTTCCCAAACTACCATGAAACATTTCATAAGGAAAATGTAAAGAACAGAATGTATTTCTATGTCTCTACTAACACCCCCAAAGTGCCTCACTTCTTAGCATGGCATGTAGGCTCTTCCATGATGTTCATCATCTTCCTCCCTAGCTCTCAAAATGCCCTGTTGCGTTGCCTTCCAGGACTCTCTTCTCCCTGGTGTCTCTCCTGGGCTGTCCCCACTCAGTTCAGTCTTTGGCCATTGCATTAGGCATGTGACCCAAACTGATCCAATCACAAATAAAGGGTTTCCTTTTTCTCACCAATCATCTGGGGCTCGAGTGCCTTGTCCTGGCAGATCCTATTTCTCTACCCACTCAGGACTTCATGCAGACATCTGCTATATCTTCTTTTAAAATATGTTTTTATTGATTTTGAGAGAGAGAGGAAGGGAGAGGGAGAAGGGAGACAGAGATAAAAACATCCATCGGCTGCCTCCTGCACGCCCCCTACTGGGAGATCGAACCTGCATTGTGCTCTCACCCAGAATCGAACCAGTGACCTCTTGGTGCATAGGTCAATGCTCAACCACTGAGCAACACCGGCTGGGCTACTATATCTTTTTAACATATTTGTTTTAGTTATGGATAGGGCTGCCACATGTGATTGTGCAAGTTGTGCAATGCACATGGATGCCCAGCTAAGGGTGAGTGGAAGCTGAAGTCCAGCCTAAACACCGCTCACCAAGCTGTGAACCCTGAGTGCCTTTCCCAGTTCACACATTGGATAGCGCTGGTCTAACTAGATTGTAAGCTCCGTAGGAATAGAGGACATACGTGTTCATCATCAGGCACAGGTCCTGGCAACATGCCTTTTCAGAAGACCCTCAATCAATTTCTGTTGAAATGAATTTCAGAGTACATTTGCAGACATAAAACTCTTACATGCTCCATCTTTTAAATCTTTCTTTATTCAGTTATCCGGGAAATCAGTGACCACACTGACTTCATGCTCTCTTAAGCATCTGTCAGTGTCAAACATCTTAGGGATATTTAGTGGAAAGTAATTTATGATAAATGACCCTTGCTAATTTTCTATTCTTTCCATCACATTTTCTTACCTACTTTATGATCTACTTTCTAAGTCTTATTTATTATATTTTAGCTTCCAAATAGCCTTGTATGATTGTAGTGCTCACACGCAATAAATTTTGAAGTTTTTGTTGTGAAATTAATGAGACATTGAGTCTAAGAATTTATGATTCCTCATAAACAACAGTGCTATATACACAGCAGGAGTCCAATAAATATTGATTACTGACAAAAACTGTGATGATTGGAGTTCAAAACTTATATGCTGCCTATAGAGGAGTAAATGAGATAATAGTTGAAGCTTCTGTAATTCTTTTTTAAATAAGAAAAGGGGCCTAATTATCTGTGCATGTAGAAAATTCTACCAACAATTAACATAAGTGTCAATTTTATTTTTCCTACCAGAGGACTGATGTAAACTAATGAGAAAATATTCCTTGACTCATTTGTCCGAGTCTGGGAAAGGTTTTGATGGACAAATTTAGATGATAATATGCAAAAGAAACTGCCTGCTCTATATGAAAAGGAAGAAGAGGAAGAGGAGGGAGGAGATAATATCTATATTTATCTTTTTAAAGAAAAGGTTCTCGTTTGGGATATAAGAGATTGATAATCTCCCAGAAAAGAACAGCTACAAGGATTAAATAACTAAATATCTAAAAAATGATCATAAGTGGGATCATTTAGTCTGGTGACAATCATCAAATAATTTAAAGAACAGTTTGAACATTTAAAATGTAAGGGATCAAGCAGCAAAAGGAAGGCGCAGAGACTCTTAATCACCCAACTTAGTGAAAAATTAAAAGTAATTCGTCTCTTACACTGGAAATAAATTATACTTATCCCATAACCATCAAGGAAACTAAAACATAGGCTATGGAAATATAGTCTCTGTATTAAAATATATACACCGCCTGACAGGGCGTGACTCTGCGGTTCAGCGTCGACCTAGGATCCAGGAGATCAGGGTTCAATTCCCGGTCAGGGCACATGCCCTGGTTGCGGGCTGCAGCCGATCAATGACTCTCTCATCATTGATGTTTCTGTCTCTCTCTCTCCCTCTCCCTTCCTCTCTCTGAAATCAATAAAGATATATTAAAATAGATATAGATATAGATATATAATCTCACCTCTATGGAGGTACACAAGGATTTACCTATGATGAAGACTTTAGAGTTAGACTACTTGGTTCCAATCCCAGCTCCACTACTTATTAGCCTTGTGACCCTGGCAAGTTACTTAACTTCTTTATTCCTGTTTCTTTTTCTGTAATATGTGGATAACAATTGTACCCAACTCAAAATGTTGTTGGAAATAATGAGATACTATGTGTAAAGTATTTAACACAGGGGCCTGGACCATAGTAAATACTCAATAAAAACTTAACAGTTGTTATTAGGGATATAGTAGAGAACTTATGAATCAAAGCAGAAAATAAAAGATCATCAACATTTTCAAATACTGAGCATCTACAATGTATCAGTCATCATGTTAGTCAATCCTCATACCTTATTTTTTAAATGAGTCGTTTTAAAGTTATGTAAGACATACATGTTCCCTGGTAAAGAATTTAAAAACTATAGCATAGTTTAATGGGAAAGTGAAAAATAAAAGATCCCAGCTAACGTTAACATTGACATTGACAACCTCTGTTCCAGGGACTAAGGAGATAACCACCATAAAGCCTCTCTTTTGGCGACATAGGATCATATGCTGCTAGAGATTTCTATTCCCATAATCAAATATATACCTATAACCTCCATCCTTTAGTATACAAATGCTATGCATACGACCCTGTACCTTGCTTTTTTCCATTTATTATGTCTTGGTTTTCCTTCTGTATCACTTCAAGAAATAAACTTTTCATTTTGGATTTACAGCAAGTTGTAATATGAACTTATATCAAGTATGTAATATGAACATATTATATAACCAAGGTACATTTGTCAAAACTAAGAAATTGATATTGGCACATTAATATTAACTAAACTCTAAACTTTATTCAGATTTCACTAGTTTTTCTACTAATACCCTTTTTCTGTTCCAGGGTCCAAGCCAGCATACCATGCTGCATTTCGTCCATGTCAGGTTTTATGTTTCCACCTTACTCCATTTTAACAACTGCATAGTATTATATAGTACAGGTGCACCATACTTTACACAATCCTGCTGATAAATTTTCATGTTGTTTCTAGCTTTTGGGTATTATGAACAATACTGTAATGGACATCATTACATGTGTATCTTTGTTCACTTGTGCTTGTAGGATAATCTTGGAAATATAACTTTGTATAACTTTGATATACGTACTGCCATATTGCCTTCAAAGAAGTTTACACAAACTCACAAAATGTAAATGAGCTATTTCCCCCATAAGTCTTGCTAATCTGAGAGAGAAAATGGCATTTTGTTATCTTCATTTGCAGTTCTTTAATGAAAAAGTAACATAGAGTATCTTTTCAGATATTTAATGGCAATTCCTTTTTTATTTTTTATGAAGTGCCAATTTATCTCCTTTAAGTACTCTTCTATTGGTTGTTCATTTCTTTCTTATTAATAAGAGCTCTTTTATATTAAGGAAATTAGCCATTTGTCATATTTGTTGCAAATATTGTTCCAGCTGATATTTTGTCTTTTGACTTTATATTAATGTTGCTACACATGTTAAAATTTTTATTTTAAAAAAATTTTTATTTATTGATTTTTAGAGAGAGAGAGAAAGAGAGAGAGAGGAACAATGATTTGTTGTTCCATTTATTTATGCATTCATTGGTTGCTTCTGACCAGGGATCAAACCCACAGCCGTGGGGCATAAGGACAACGTTCTAACTGAGCTCCCCAGCCAGGGCTTAAAATTTTTTAATTACCATCTTATTCTTTACACTTCTGGTTTTTGTTTTTGTTCCATGACAATATTATTATAAAATATTCACCTTTGTATACATTACTTTTCATCCTCACAATTCTATGAAGTGATTTTACAATGAAAGCTTGATATTTTCAAGCAGTAGTAAGATCTCCTCAAACACCAATTTATAAATACTACTCTATTGCAAAGATCTTATGCAATCATTTAAAAAGATTAACACTATGACTCCAACTTCGTTTTATTGGATTGCTCTTTATTTTGGACCTCGACATTTGAGTGTTTGCAGAACCCTAGAGAAAAAGCTAGGATGAATCACGGCCAGTTTGTCTTTGGTAGCCCTCAGCTCTGATATTTGTGTCTCTTCCTTCCATACATCTGCCAAGGCATTCTCTGTTGATGTAAACCTCTTTTTATGCTGTTGAACACACTGACCTATAAAACATTTTTTTAATGAATTTCTTCAGCTCGGAAAGAGGCAAGTACGTCTATAGCAATGATTTTTTTAAAGTTTATGTCAATAGAAAAAAGCTATGTCAGGTCCTTGAATCAATCTTTCTTTGTGGCCAAAGTGGGTTGAGAGCTCTATGAACGTCCTCTCTATTGCTTCATAAAAAGATTTGTACACGTTCCTAGGTTTCTTCTGAATTACATTTTCTTGAGTATCATGTTTCCTGTTCTTATTTTTACTTTTACACCAATAGCATTCTTTTTAATGTTTACTAGGTTTTCTACTCAATTGATGACTTTTTTTTTTTTCTGTGGTGGTGGAAGCACTCACTGAAATAGTTTCCCAAACTGATTTTTCTTGTTTCCTTATTGCTGGTGTCATCTCTATTACAAATATAAGCCACTGACTAATTTTACATTCTATTCTAACTTAACCAAAGATGGATCTCATGGCTAAGATCCATCACTTTATTAATTTCTTCAGTCTCAGTGTTAATAGTTGAATTTCTTTTCAGAGCCATTTTCAAAGAAGAAAATATTGGGCATTTTCAGGGAGATACTATGTAAGTGAAGAAGAGTTGGCACCAATGAAACTATCAGAGTTTAGTTGCTGGGTGATTAACAAGGTTTATTCATTTGCAAAATGACCATGAGGGAACTTGGGAGGCATACATGTGGACTCTCTTTTATCTTAGCACCTTTCTGCAAATCTAAAACTTACCTAAAATAAAAAGTGTATTTAAAAGTGTTCACGGTAATAAAAGTACTTTTATTTTAGCTATTTACTCACTTACTCAATGCTAGGCATTGTCAGGGCTGCATGGTGGAGCTCAGTCTAGTGCTGGGATAATTATAGCCAGTATATATTGATTGTTTAGTATACACTAGGCAAGTTATACATATACTAGGTCAAGTTACATTTGAGGTCTTTAGAGTCATCAAAAAGGTAGATGGATGCATGTGTCTGAAGCCCATGGGAGAGGTCAGGGCTGGAGTCAAAATTCATCTATAAAATAAACACATATATATGTAATATCAGTAACTTCATTTACTAGAAAGAGTAGCCATACATCTCCATTTGTTCATCTATTTATTAATCGATTAATGCATTCATATCCTTATTCCAGAAATATTAATTGTATACCTATCAACTTATCAGGCTCCAGTAGGGTCATGCCAATGGCCTTTAAAGAGAAGAGTGTGTAACCACAAAAGGTGGATCATGGGAAGAAAATATTAGAACTTTTAAAACATACTTATTTTTTTCTAAGAACAAAAATAAAATGTCTTATAAATATTTACCATATAGATTTACACTGGAATCTCACTATTAATGAGTGACAAGTGCAAGTTATATAATGTGGAGAATAATTCAGGGATTTCTTTCTTTCCTTTCTTTTCAATATATTGTGATTTATTCTAGTTTGTGTCCTGGGCTAAGTAGGTTTGCCAATTAATTATTATTTCATTGAACTAACTCCCACTAAAATGAAAGTAGCTAAAAAAGATTTCTGGAAAGAAAACATAAGTTGGAAATCATAATGCAATTACATGCAAAAATGACAAGAGTAGAGGTGACAGGTCTACTTCTAGCATGAGCTCTAAAGAAGTCATCTTATTAGATAGTGGAGATGACATTTTGAAATCAAAGATTTCGAGACATTTCCATTGCATGACTGTGATACAAAAATAATGTATGTATGCTACCCAAGGCTTGGGACTACTGTGAGGCAAGTGAGGCATTCACTTCAGGTGCACCATTTAAGGGAGTCCCCAAAACTCAGTAATCAAGAGAATTATCTAAATGCAACATTTTAAAAAGTCAAAACTAATGCAAAAATCTGTGATGAACAAATTTTAAAGGCAAGATTCATACCTCTAAAACTCATACATGTACATGAAAACTTGAAGACAGAATTTCCCAATCTACTTAGAAATCCTCCAAGCAATGATTCCAGAGAATTTTGAACCCATTTATTAAGAATATAAAAATGCAGCACCTTCTGGCTGAGAACAAGGGAACATAGAAAGTTACTAGTGGAATTTCAACAAAAACTTTTCATGGTTGGTGGATGGAAGTGTTAAAAATGGAAACGCATTAGTAAGAGCAGCCAAAGATGTACTTCTTCCACTAGGATCTGCATTATCTTTGTGAATTACCTTTCTCAGCTTATGACAGCCATTGAAACGAAGTACAGAAATAGCCCGAAGGCTGAATCAGACATTTTAATAGCTTTCACAAGATATTAAGATTTTTAAAAACACGGAAACCTAGTCAATCATATTGCTTTCACTTAATACTTTTACTGAGAGGAATAAGGAAGTTTATACCATTAATGTAAAAATAACTTATAGATACTTTAAATAAGTTTGTTTCCTCTTTGTCTTATGTCTTATATCATACCCAACAAGTATGTAACCTGCGTAAGTACATAGCCGTGTTTTTTCTTTGTGCTAATGGAGCGCAATCAGGAACAGCGGGGAGCGCCCCGCGCCGGGCGGCGCTGCGGGTCAGGGGCGCGGCGGGACGGTTACCTGGGCGCGCGGGGAAGTCACTGCACCCACGAAGTCTTCACGAAGGACGCCCACTGAGTCCTCACAAAGAGAGGCTTTGTTTTTTATTGAAGCAACGTTGTAATAAAAGGAAGGCTTTGAGGAATGAGTAGGATTTGGAGAAATAACTACTGCAGACTTTGGTGTAAAACAAGCGCGCAGCGCCGACCGCAAGTC